CATCACCATTAATTGTTCCCTTTCCCCTCTAGCACAGCCTCTTCATATATGGCGAATGCAGACCATTCACCTGGAGTTTCCACATGACTTCAAATGGTCGACTTAAGAAGTTTCTTTGTTGTCAGGAGAAAATGGTGGTTAGAGGATGACTATTCTATTCTAATTGATCAATTAATTAATTATTTTTAAGTAGGCTCCATGCCCAGCGGTGTGGGGCTTGAACTCATAACCCTGAGTCAAGACCGAAGCTGAGACCAAGAGTGGGAGGCTTAACTGACTAAGCCACCCATGCACTGCAGATGATGACTGTTTTAAAGCTTTGGTTTGAATCCTAGCTCCACTGCCTATCGGCTGTCTAACCTTATCAAATAGTTTACCCTTTCTGAGCATAAGTGTCCTTACCTTTAATATATGAACAATATTTACCTCATAGAACTTCTCAGAAGAATAAATGAGAAAATATGTATAAAATATCAGCATAATACCTGATTCATAATAAGCATTACGTTACTGGAAGTGTTATGTTGTTATGTTACAATATTGTTGACATAATAATTTTGAATTAATAATTAAATCCTATTTCTTTTATTCCTTTTTCCTAATTTAATTCAATCAGTTCCCAAATGTCTTGAATTTGAGTGACTTGATTGGAAGCCAGAAGCCTGCCGTCTCTCTAAATGTAGGACGACTTTGCATGCAGTCAAATGTTTACCTCTCCCTATCCTCCCCACCCCCTGCCTGCCTAACCCTGTGTGTCATTTTGTTGTACATGGGGGTTTGGAAGGTCAGAGAGGAAGAGTCAGCCCAATACGTAAAAACAAAACAAAACAAAACAAAACAAAACAAAACAAAACCAGAAGGGGAGGTTAGAATCAAGGATCACTTTACCTGAAGTTATATAATTCTTCTTAGACTGAGGAGTAGACAGTTCTACTGTCTACATGTTAACTCCCTCCAGTTATCTTGTTTTTAGCATCATTAGTGAGCCAAAACACTAAAGTAATATTACTCCTGCTAATGTTAAGAATCGACATTTAGTGAGTCCTTAATATATGCTGGGCAATAACCTGGAATAAAATAAGCCACTCAAACTTCAATTTGTAGAAACTTTTTTTTTAACGTTTATTTATTTTGAGGGAGAGAGATGAGCAGGGGTGGGCAGAGAGAGAGGGAGAGAGAGAATTCCAAGCAAACTCCATGCTCAGTGCAGAGCCCAGTTTGGGGCTCTGTCTCACCACTGTGAGATCATGACCTGAGCCTAAATCCAGAGTTGGACACTTAACCAACGGAGCCTCCCAGGCACCAGAACACTTTTGTCTTATTCTTATGCCATTGTGTTGCATTCTTGAAGCACGTTTTTCGTATGCATCTGTAGAACTGAACCTTTTGTTATTGCACCATGCCTGAAAACGCAACAAATGTAGAATACTCCATCAAGAAACCCCATCCACTGCTTGGCCCATGTTTATTGTACTAGCCAGGGCAGCCCTATACAGCTATAGCTACACAAAGCAAACATACTATTTAGATTTTTTTTTATATTGACCTTTCTGTTTCTTATTGCCATTTTATTTTCTATCACAGTTTCAACATCCTCTAGGTCAGGTGCTTCTAGGAAGTCAGGCTTGATCAGTCATGATCTTCCTGCTACCTCATCTATGGGAACTCAATCTATCAAGGGATGCTTTACCAAACTTATTTTAGCTCATTTGCTATTTCACCTAAAAAATGCTTTGACCTAGAGAACCGAGTTTAATAAGAACTCTGGCATTTATAGTGATGCCTTTTGGGATATGTTCAATAAATACTTGATACTTACAATGTCAATAATGATGACAATTTTTTAAGTGATGTGAGTGTCATGCAGCTGGGAAAATATAAATTTGGCCCTAACCGGGAAGCACAAATGCAGGCACTAATTTTTAGCCTATAGACACAGCTTAACTGAAAAACCTGGTCCCTACGCTCACTCTCCCAGTTTTTGCCAGTCTAGTTATGGACTTAAGTAGGTGGTTTCATGGGATTAAGAAAAAGACAAATTTTGTTTAACTGCCCATGATATTTGGTTAGTACTGGAGCTTTTGGGGATTCAGGCCATTTGGAAGAAACCCTACAGCAACTAGCCAATTGGCTCAGGAGAAGATGGTAACAGAGGCTACCTCACAGTAAGCATGGAGAGGTGAAGATTCAGTAGACGAACACAGAAACCCCATTTCTGTTGCTTTCATGGAATACTAGGAGGGATCAAATGATCCCCAGTTGTGAGTTTAGTCATCAACAAAGGTACATTTGGCTGGGAAAAATTAAAGTAGGTTCTTCTAACTTGCAGGTTTCAGGAAATAGCTTCCAACCCTTCATACCTCTTTGCCTAGAAGGTTGACCAACTTCTACCTTCAGTGACATGCCTCAGTTTCCCCTACTGTCTCCCACACCCTTTCTTTGCACTGCACTTCTTTCTCAGATTTTAAAAAATAAAACACAACTAGACACTATGTATTTAGATAATTGTTCTAATTAGCGTGTGATTCACTTGTTCTTTAGAAAGTGTGACAGTGCTGTCTAATACATATGGTACTTGTAGTAATTTACACAAAGAGTTATTAGATCTTAGATAACTTATGCCACTCTTGCAGTGGATAAATCAGATTCTAATCATGATTTTTTAAAAAAGTTTTTTTTAAGTCAGCTCTACACCCAACATAGGGCTTGAACTCACAATCCCAAGATCAATAGTCACATGTTTTACTGACTGAGCCAGCCGAGCCACCCCTCTACTCGTAATTTTTAACACAACATTTTTTCAGAAGCATTCCATAATTTTTTGCATTGTCCATACTGTATACATTTATATATTCCAGGAAGCTAAATGAACGTATAAAATGTATCAGCAGAATAAAAATATTTAGGTATTTACATATTGTAAACCTTTAAACAATTCAGTGTAGAGATTTATACATATGCCTTATAAGTAGGAGTATGAGACAGTTGAATTAGTACATAAAGTTTTTATTTAAAGTTTTCCCCTTCCAAGCAAGCTTCATTTACACATTCTAATACTGTACAAAATTTACAATCTCTGTGACTTACTTACTCACTATTCACTTCTAATAGTTTGTGCCTTTCTGAAATACAGAAAGCTTTACTTACAGTTCTCATAAATGCTCTTATTTATTTTGGCTAGAAATAAAAAATAAATGAAGAACAAGTCTAAGGAAAGTGAATATCCTTGTATAAACTGTGACTTTCAGAAGAAATGGTGACAGTTGACAAAAAAAGTTCTGAAGCAGACCTTGTTCTCTTCGTGACGTCAGCTGGGATTTTTCCCAAGTACTGTAACTTTTCTTTCCTATATATATGTTTTCAAGGAAAAAGAAATGAAAGTTGATTGCACTGAATATATATATATATATTTATATATATATTTTTACAACGGATCCTTTGGATCTGAACATACAAATAAATACAAAAACAACAAAGATTGCACTTTACTGTAGAAACAGCATTGGATTCCAGTACACCCATCTATCTCGACATGCTCCACGGTGAAAGTTTATCACCAAGGCATTTTTAGTCTGTGGCTTCCCCATGTTGTTGTTTTGAATGACACTTTTGTGGAGGGATTCAACAACACCTCTGGGTGATTAAAAAATATTTTAGGCTACAATTTAGTATTAACTGATGTTTCAGCTCTGAAGCGCTTGAAAATCAAATTAATGTTCCTTCCAGTTTTGCTCTTTTGATTGTTCACATTGAAAACTATCTCATGCTCTCCTGACCTTCTGCTCCTACATTCCTCATGCTTCTAAAGACAACTAGCAATTGTTCAGCTAACTGATCTCAGGCATCTTTGGTGATAACAAACAAATATGATGAGTTGGAGAATAATCAGGGTAAGTCATGTGCTTTCCTAGAGCCAAATCCAGAGCCATTTCTAGAGCCAAAGGTGAGGAAGAGGGAGACGTATTTGTTAAGAGCTATAATTCGTTCTTGTGGCTCTTTTAAGTGGTGTGTTTTAGGGACAGAGAGACAACTGGGATGGCACTTAAAAGAAATTTTTTCTTTCTTTTCATCCCTGAATTCCTGAAAGCAATCTCCCAGTTTCATCATAGGTTAAGTTTGGGTCAGACGTGTTATCCAACAGAATCTCTTCAATATTGTACGAAAACTTTGTCAGTCCTACCTTTTGAAGGAAATAACAGATGTGTTCACTACTTTTTTATATACTGTAAAAAAAAAAAAAAAGACAAAACATGAGCTTCTGTGGAATGAATAGTGACATAGTATGTTTTGTCTTAATCTTTCATATAAAATTGAGGACACAAATTATGACTGGCTAGCCTAGAGCCCACAGGGCAGAAAGCAATTGCTACGAGAGCCAACATCTTCCTCTTCTGTGATCCCGTGAGGTGCTGTAAGGGGCAGGCGGTACATGAAATGAAGTTATATAGAAACAAACATGTTCCCCTTTAATCTTATATGATTTTCTATAACTGTGTTGCCTATGGAGTCTGTGAAGGAGCCACAGGTTAGGAATATAGAATCGAGTGGCAATTTCTGTAATGCAGTGTAAGTATTTCAGTGGGTCGAATTCTGGATCGTTCATGAACACAATATCCCCAAAACTTCAACATAGGTCACATGCAGGTAGACTACAATGCACAATACTGATCTTAGGTCTGTCTGGGGCACTCTTCTGTATTGTATCTTTCTCCTTTTGAACGTTAAGATCCACATGAGGAGTTTTCGTAAAGCTGGGACAAGTTAAAACCAGTCTGAAATGGAAGAGTCTGTCACCACAGGAAGTTTGGTGTGATCCGAGTTGCAGACACAGTATCTGTTCAAGAACAGGTCTTTTTCTTTTGTCATTACTGTAAATCATTAGAACCCAAGGGCGGGTTTCGGCAGTTGTGCCATTAGATGCACTGTTCCTAGTACAATAGTGATGTCAGCTGTCATTGTTTCCTAGAATGTGAGAGTGTTCATTCCAGGGTTCCCTGGCGTTATTTGTTGTAAGGTACACAGGCGGGCAAGATAACCGGTGCGCAGGCGGGACCTGCCAGTGGCTCTGCTACATCCCCTTCCAGTTCTGTCCAGGTGCCTTTTTCCGGGCAGTAGCATATTGTGGATGACTTGTAGGCCCCCTGTAATGGCAGAGGGGGGGCGTTTAGGGAAGAATGTTCCGAGAAGTGCAATGGCAATCCTACTTCTCACATTTACATTGGAAAGAAAATGTCAATTCTCTGCTCTTGCTAAAAAGTTCCAAATGAAAGTGGTGGATTTGAAACTGTTTTCCCTACAGGAAAATCTGAGATTCGCAAGACTGCAAAATCTGTGTGTGTGTCTGTGATTAATAATAAAAGTCGAGCGCCTTCAACACCTAGATGATCAGCAAAATCCTTTAAAATAATGGACCAAAAATTGGAATTTATCCAGCTGGTTTCAGTTAAAAAAAAATTCATCTTAGGGGCGCCTGGGTGGCGCAGTCGGTTAAGCGTCCGACTTCAGCCAGGTCACGATCTCGCGGTCCGGGAGTTCGAGCCCCGCGTCAGGCTCTGGGCTGATGGCTCAGAGCCTGGAGCCTGTTTCCAATTCTGTGTCTCCCTCTCTCTCTGCCCCTCCCCCGTTCATGCTCTGTCTCTCTCTGTCCCAAAAAAAATAAATAAACGTTAAAAAAAAAAATTAAAAAAAAAAAAAATTCATCTTAGATTTTCAAATAATTTGGGTCAAACAATTTGGTCAATTTTAAATCATTGCCTCACTTTTCCGGTTTTATTTTACTACTGTAGGGAGTAAGAGAGAAGATTCAAAACTAGTTCAAAATAAGCCGGACAAGAGGGCTTGTCAACTTCTTTGCACATTGATTTATTTTCAAGTGGCCATGTGAGAAATTAAAAAAAAAAAGTCTTTAATCTCGTTTCCTTTGTCAACCTCTGGGGGTAGTGCTTGTATGACATTTCGCTTCTATAACCAAAGCAATTTGGCTTTTAGCATAGGCAAAACCCCAAAATTCCAACCAACCTGGTCATCATTTTTTGAAAGTGTCCTCCTGGTACCTGGTTCTAAATGTGTCCACTCTTGCAGCTAGTAATGTGCACCAGTGAACAAACCCCTTATGAATATGTAGTTCAATGTACATTTGCCTACATATAACTAATACCTTTTTAAAACTCCCCCCAAACGTTATACAAGAACCTCGTTTGATGCAAAAGAAATAAGCTAATATTATTAATACCCCAAATTAATATTAAGAAACCAACACCTATAAATCAACAGTCATCATTTAAAAAGTGAACGTGTAGACCATGAGGCCATACGTGTCTATGTGATGTAATGCGATGTAATTCGAACTACATGGCCACCTCCTCAAGTGTTCTTAACAAAAGAGAAGAAATAAGGAACACAATAAATTTAAAAAAGAAACAGGCTGAACTTGTGTTAAGTCCTTATGTCTAACTTCCAGTTTTAGAGGAAATATGGAGACAGAGACTGTATTAAATGATATTGCAAGGTAATCATTAGCTAATTCCAGAATGTCAGCTTTTCTCTCTAATAACTGACCCTGTTTTTTTCAACAAGTTAATGGCATGGACGAAGAAGTGGAGTGGGTGATTTTCCAGATTGCAAGAGATGGATGAGATATAATAACCAAATACAAGTGAGGGTATTGGATTCTGACTTGAACATATCAACTTAAAATATATATATATATATATATTTAAAATTTTTTAAAAAATGTTTATTTATTATTGAGAGACAGAGAGATGTCTGAGAGATGTCTGAGACAGAGAGACAGAGCATGAGCATGGGAGGGCCAGAGAGAGAGGGAGACACAGAATCCGAAGCAGGCTCCAGGCTCCGAGCTATCAGCACAGAGCCTGATGTGGGGCTCGAACTCACAAACCACGAGATCATGACCTGAGCTGAAGTCAGACGGTTAACTGACTGAGCCACTCAGGCACCCCGAAATATATATATATTTTTACAAGTGAATAGGAAAACTTTGAATGTAGAATAAGGGAATTATAGTTAATTTTGTTGGGTGAGATGACAGTGTGTTTACATAAACGAATACTTTTTTATTTTTTTAATTTTTTTTTTAACATTTATTCATCTTTGAGAGACAGAGAGAGACAGAGCATGAGTGGGGAAGGGGTAGAGAGAGGGAGACACAGAACCCGAAGCAGGCTCCAGGCTCCAAGCTGTCAGCACAGAGCCCAATGCGGGGCTCGAAGTCACAAACTGTGAGATCATGACCTGAGATGAAGTCGGACACTCAACCGACTGAGCCTCCCAGGCACCCCCATAAACGAATACTTTTTTAAAGATAAATACTGAAGCATGTAGGATGAAATACTTCAGCCAAAAGTTTTTAAGGGTGAATAGATGAAGTATGCCAAAATTTTGATGGATGTTGAAGCTGGATGCTAGGTTAACAAGAGTCCATTGTACTCTCAATTTTTGTGTAACCTTGGAAATTTTCCTGATAAAGATGGGGGAAAGTGAAAAGCCATGGAAAGTTATATATACTAAAGGGAATTTGTGGATATTTAACAGGTTCCAGTGTTTATGCCTTACTGGTCAGAAACTTTTCAGACAATTCAAACAGTTCAACAAACTATTCAAACAATTTCAACGCAATATTTGTAAAACCACTTCAGTATCTTTACTTTAGTTGGAAAGCCAGAATCCCAAAAGCATGGCGAGAAGAGAGAAGCAGAGACCTACTGCATTTGGGGATATAGTTGATCAGACAGCAAGACAGCTCAATAGCAACCACACCAATTCTATTTTATTACTTAAAGTAACTTACTCCTAGCATACAAGCATGATACTCTTAAAAGGTTTGTGTGTGAAAATAAATTCAAAATGGATGAAAGACCTAAATGTGAGACAGGAAACCATTAACATCCTACAGGAGAACATAGGCAGCAACCTCTTTGACCTTGGCTAGAGCAACTTCTTACTAGACACATCGCTAAAGGCAAGGGAAACAAAAGCAAACATGAACTATAGAGACGTCATCAAGATAAAAACTTCTGCACAGTGAAGGAAACAACAAAACTGAAAGGCAGACTATGGAATGGGAGAAGATATTTGCAAACAACATACTGATAAGAGTCAGTATCCAAAATCTATAAAGAACTTATCAAACACGACATCAAAAAAACAGACAACCCAGTTAAGAAATGGGCAGAAGATATGAATAGATCCTTATCCAAAGAAGACATCCAGATGGCTAACAGGCGCATGAAAAGATGCTCAACATCACTGACCATCAGGGAAATCAAGATAAAAAACATGATGAGATATCACCTTACACCTGTCAGAATGGCTAAAATAGACAACAGGTGTTGGAGGATGCTGAGAAAGGGGAACTCTCTTGCACTGTTCATGGGAATGGAAACTAGTGGAGCCACTCTAGAGAACAGTATGGAAGTTCCTCAAAAAAGTGAAAATAGAATTACCCTATGATCCAGCTACTGCACTATTAGGTGTTTACCCAAAGGATACTAAAATACAGATTCAAAGGAGTACCTGCACTGTTTATAGCAACATTATCAACAATAACCAAACTATGGAGAAAGCCCAAATGTCCACTGACTGATGAATAGATAAAGAAGTTGTGGTATGTATATACAATGGAATGTTACTCAGCTATCCAAAAGAATGAAATCTTCCCATTTGGAATGATGTGGACAGAGCTAGAACGTATTATGCTAAGTGAAATAAGTCGATCAGAGAAAAAGAAATACTATATGATTCACTTATATCTGGAATTTAAGAAACAAAACAGATGAACATATCGGGGTGGGGGTGGTGGAAAGAGGAGAGAGGAAAAGATACCACAGAAGACTTTTAATGATAGAGAACAAACTGAGGGTTGATTGAGGGAGGTGGGTGGGGGATGGGCTAGATGGGTGATGGGTAGTAAGGAGGACACTTGTTGTAATGAGCACTGGGTGTTGTATGTACACAATCAATCACTGAATTCTACTCCTGAAACCAATATTGCACTGTATGTTAACTAAATAAAATTTAAGTGAAAAAAAAAAAAGGTTTATGTGTAGGTGGTAACATTTAGAGGGAAACACAAAGTAAGCACAGAAGGAGAGGATGAGGTAAATGTGGACACATACCATACTCCAGCTGTAGCCACCCACAAGGTAGATGCTGTCATCAAGCACTGCACAGCCAGGGCCACTTCGACCTTCCAAAATGGGAGTTTGGAGAATATTCCACTGGTCACCTTTTGGGTCATAGCATTCCACAAGCATTACATCAAGGTGGGAGAAACCTAAGCGACATAGCAAAATGGAACCACATAAGAATAAACTCTCAGGGTGGCTGCCTGAGTGGCTCAGTAGGTTAAGCATCCAACTTCGGCTCAGGTCATGATCTCACGGTTGGTGAATTTGAGCCCCACATCAGGCTCTTTGCTGTCAGCACAGAGCCTGCTTCAGATCCTCTGTCCCCCTTTCTCTGCCCCTCCCCCACTCCCTCTCACATGCTCTCTCTCTAAAATAAGTAAACATAAAAAAAAATAAATAAAAAAGAATAAACTCTCAGGGTCCCAATTCAGGGCTAGGGCTTCTCCTTCTCCTCCTCCTCCTCCCCCTCCTCCTCCTTCATCTTCTTCTTCTTCTTCAAGTTTATTTACTTATTTTGAGACAGAGAGAGAGAGCGCACAAGCTGGGAGGGGCAGAGAGAGAGGGAGAGAGAGAGAATCCCAAGCAGGCTCTACACTGTCAGCACGGATTTCCGACGCATGACTTGAACTCACAAACTGTGAGATCATGACCTGAGCTGAAACCAACTGAGCCACTCAGGTGCCCCAAGGCTAGGAGTTCTTTTAAAAATAGCTCTAGGGCTACAAAATAGATAATTGTGTTTTTAAAGAGACAAAGGTATACGTTTACTAGTGAAATAGGGAGACATGTTACGAGAGACCTAAAACAAACTCTGGGTATGTCCAATTCATTCAAAGCAAGAATGTCTGACTCAATGTCATTGGTAAATGTTGATTATATGGGGGTATATCTTATTTTAAAATGTTTATTAAAACCTTATTTAAAAGGTTTAAAATAATTAAACGTAAGCATTTTATAGAGTGCTTACAATAAGCTGGTTGTCTTCCAAATGCTTTCTGTAGATGAATTCACTTAATTCCTCTCAACCACCCCATGAGATAGTTATGCCATTATATTCATTTTAGAGAGGAGAAAACTGAGAGCAAGAGAGAAATAATGACTTGAGTGAGTCACACAACCAGTAAGTAGATAGGCTGAGGTTTAAACTCAGGCAAACAGGCTTCTGAGCTCATGTTATTACAGGCTAAACTGTATTGCTTTTCCTAAACGAATATTTAACTCTCAAAATGTTTAAAAAAAATTTTTTTAATGTTTATTTATTTTTGAGAAAGAGAGAGAGAGAGAGTGTGCAAGCTGGGATGGGACAGAGAGAGGGACACAGAATCCGAAGCAGGTTCCAGGCTCTGAGCTGTCAGCACAGAGCCTGATGTGGGGCTCAAACTCACACACTGTGAGATCATAACCTGAGCCAAAGTCAGATGCTTAACCAACTCAGCCATCCAGGTGCCCAATCAAACTGTTTTAATTAAATGGTGTTCAGAATCTTTTACCTTTTTCAACAGTTTATGTTTATAAGCAACTATGATGAAGTGAATAGTTTCCAATATCTACTAAGGATCAAGGTCAAGTAGGGGGCTAACTTTCACTGAGGGCTTCTTCTCTCACCTCTGATGAAGTTTTTCAGTGACTGGGGCAGTAAGTGGGTTGCAGAGAACAACTTAAATTCTTAGACTCCACTGGGGCCCTGCCTTTAATTTAGAAAGTCAAAAATCTGGAGGGGGAGTGCTTCCTGGTCACTGAACAGACCAAATCCTTGATAATATTTTTCTTCTCTTTACATGTGTGCAATGGATATTTGCTAGCTGACAATTACAATGCATACACTCAATCAAAATCAACCTCCTGGACTCTTCAAAGTAATTAAAAAGATAGACCAAAAAGTAGAATAATTTTCATTCTTGAAGAAGCGGACAAATTATTTCAGGCCACTAACTTCTTACATAAAATAAATCACATAGATTTGAGAACAGTAGAGTGAAGGATTTACTGGAATTCTGTGGTATATTCCTTTCCTGTAAGATTATTGATGATAATTTCTGAAGCATGGATAACTGGAATGAGGACTGGGGAAAATTTCCAGTTCTGAAGTTCTAGTGGCATCATAGGAGGATACGTATGCCTTCTTGGTGCCCGCTACACATATGACATATGTTGATGATAAGCCTCAAAAACTATAAGGAAAAGATAATTACCCCTCTTTTATAGACATGGGATTAAGTGTCTTGAGTAAGACCACACAACCACAAGTCCATAACTGGAACCCAGATCCATACCCTTCTCTCTACACCATAATGCCTTCCTGAGCTGACCTAACTTTGATGTGTGTGTGTTCGCATTTAGGTTGTCATTACCCTGTCCAAGTATAACCTCAAATATTAAAGCTTCCTAGAATGTGGGGCAACTGGGTGGCTCAGTTTGTTGAGCATCTGACTCTTGATTGCGGCTCAGGTCATAGTCTCATGGTTCATGGGGTGGAGCCCCATGTTGAGCTCTGTGCTGACAGTGTGGAGCCTGCTTAGGATTCTCTGTCTCCCTCTTTCTCTCTGCCCCTCCTTCACTCGCATTCTCTCTCTCTCAAAACTAAATAAACATTTTTTAAAAATTCCTAGAATGTTTAGTCATCATTATGCAAAAGAAATTAGTAGAAATCACATTTTAATGTAGAAAGCTACAAAGTTAAACTGCATACAGATATTTTGATGAGAAGGAATGGTGTATGGCTTGAGATGAAAGAGAAGCAATGAAAGAGAAAAAGAATAAAAAGGGAAAAGTTGCAGCAGCAAAGGTAATCAATCCCTTCCCACTGGGGAGAGTACAAAGGTGAGCAGCATAGACTAGGGTATTGACGTTTCTGATTGAATACGAACTTGGAAATATTTACATAAAAATTACACCTGTGTGGTCTTTATTATGTTAGGGGTATATATGTATTTGGAGAACCAAAAGGAATGTCTACATCTATCATTTTTTAGATGGTTGTATGATGGAAAAATAAATGCATAGAAGGCCTTATCTACCATACTTGGATGGCCTGTTTCACATTTGGTTCAATTTCAAGGATCATGGCAGGTCAGAGCCAGAGGAGATTTTAGAGATCATCTATACCAGTTTCTTCATTTTTAGGTAAGAAAACTGAGGCCCAATGCAGTTCAGGAATCTTAACAACACAGTTCTCTCTGCTTTCCTGTCAAATTCAGTGTGATATGCATGTGGATAGTTACACACATGCACGTAAACTACAAAAAGTTGTAGTCAGGGGCAGCTGGGTGGCTCAGTGGGTTAAGCATCTGATGTGGGCTCAGGTCATGATCTACAGTTCGTGAGATCGAGCCCCACGTTGGGCTCTGTACTGACAACTCAGAGCCTGGAGCCTGATTTAGATTTTGTGTCTTCCTCTCTCTCTCTGCCCCTCCCCCACTTGCGTGCTCACTTTCTCTCTCTCTCTCTCTCTCTCTCTCAAATGAATAAACTAAAAAAAAAAGGTTGTAGTCATACAGATATATGGAGAGGAGAGGAGCCCAAACAAAACTCTAAAAATATCATGTTTTTTTTTTTTTTTTTAATTAAAAAAGCAAGTAGAATTTGAGAAGCATAGGTTTGGTGTTCAACTCTTAAAAGAAATAATTCCAAATTTAGACATGAAATTCTAAATGTTTTCTTTAAGAAAAATCACGTGTTAGCTTCTTTGTGCAGCTATGACTGAAGTTCTTTATGATCACTACAAAAAACAATTTTCTGGAAAAAATTTATTGCTATAACTTCGGAGATAGGGAATAATTTATTTTACTGAATTCATTGTTACAACAAATTGTTTGTGCTTTCAGTTATTAATGCTTCCGTTTTTTACTTTCTGTTGACATCATTATTCATTTCTTTAATGTGTGTGGTAACTTAAAAATAATCCTATCTGCAGAGGAGCCAAAATAAATGCCTGCCCAAGGGTACAGCTAATTTACACAGAGTAGATTTTATTTGGTCAACATGTTTTTTACTTGGTTAACTATGATTATCTAACGAGAAACCCCCTTAGCAAGAAACATGAGATGTAAATGATATTGTGATTAAAAAAAAGAAAGAAAGAAAAAGACCTTTCAAATGATTTCCTCCAATTGCATACAAGCGATCATTCATTACAGCCAAAGTGTGGATGGCGCGTTTTGTGTTCATATCTTGTTTTCGAGCCCAGACATCCATTACAGGGTCATAGCAATATAGCCATGGGACATATTCTCCATTGTGTACACCCCCTGTGAATTAAACATATACATACAAGTCAAGAAAGTGCCTTGGAACTGAAGTTTGGAACAGAAAGTGGAGGAATGACTTGCCTGAAATGTATATCTTCCCATTGTGCACTGCTCCTGCGTGAGCAGCCAGAGGCTGGGGCAAAGAGGACACATAACGCCATTCATTCGTTTCTAGGTTATAGCTCTCCACGCTGGACAAATAGCCGGTTTCGTTCCTTCCACCAATAACGTATAAATGCTTGTCCAACCGACATGCATAGAAACTGGCTCTTCTACAATGAAAACAACAACCCACCATAAATCACAAAAGGGGCTCCGTCAGTCAGGGAAAAGGAGGTACATCCCGCTCTAGAAAGGGTTGCAGAAATTTGGAAATAACACACACAGCTCCCTTCTAAATCTGAGACCTTTACAGTAATTGTACGCATTGCCTGTTCTGGTTAGCAATTTCATATTAAAGTAACAGGAGAGGAGAAAGTCACCAACCCTGTTTCAGCTTCTTTTATCTTGCTTTTTTATACACTGTTAAAGTGTTCACTAATGTTTGGCATATTTGGTACCTTGTACAGATATCACAGCTCAGTAAGACAAAGTGAAAAATGAGGTAGATAATGTAACAATAATAAATTATCTTGACATTCACTTTTTTCATGGTCCTTCAAGGGTCATTGTTCCCAATTTATAAGAGAACTACATCATCAAAATTTTTCTTCAATTATCATTTTTTTTCTTCCCAGTACTACCACAAATAGAGAAACTTTTGTGAACTGAATAGAGTGCTGAAATTTTGCTCTTATACAAACCAATCGTAGGAATTTCACTGATAGAGCTTTTAGTGTTGTTTCTTACAAAGCTACAGGATATTTTTTAGTCTCTTTTCAAGAGAGGCAATTCATTAAATTATCCCATTATGCCTTCAAAGGTAAAAGACACAAACTGTGTTGAAAGGGAGACCGATCCTGAGGTAGACCATAAAATAAGAGTGAGATATTGAGGACCTGAAGTAGAGTTTTATGGAAGACACAGAAGAGCTGAGCAAAAGATATTGTAAAGGACGATGTAAGACTCAGTAACTAGTAAGACATGAGAGCTGAGGGAGAATAAATGTTCAAAGGGGACCTGAAAATTTGGAGTTAGGATGACTGGGTTGATATATTAAGCAAGTCCTTGACCCTTTGCTTCTTTTTTTCTCATTGATGCTACTGGAATAATACACTTTATAAGGATAAGATATGAATAAGTACGATTGTTAAGTGCCAGGCCCCTCAGAGGATATAATTTATGTTTGATAAATGTATGGTCTTCATAAAAATAAGGGCCAAGACTCTTGGGCAATGTCAGTAGCAAGATCAAGAGTCCTAAAGATTTTTATCAGGAGATTTTCCAAGTTGTGTTTACAAAGTGCCAAAACCTCTAGGAAGCAGGAGACGGCGTCTTGATTAACAGTTTGGTCTCTGGAACAGATTGCGTGGCTATGTGATTTATTGGATGTGTGACCTTTGACACATTAGTTAACCCCTCTCAGCCTCAGGTTGCTCATTTGTAACAAGGGGATGCTAATGGTACCTTTTTTTACAGGGTTATTTGCAAATGCATATGTAAAGTGCTGTCATAGTGTCCAGCTTTTTGTTCATGTGTCAGAACCATCAGTTACCATGACCCGGGTAAAAATGTTATTAAAAATCAGCCATCAAGATGTTTGCATATAAACTTTGCCTAGCCATATTTTAAATGACAGTGAAATGTTTTAATGTTTGTGTAGGTGATTTATTACCAGTAGGTATGGTATATGTTATAGATGTTGATGTATTCAGTTTTATTTTTTTCTAGCTTTTTTGAGGCATAATTGGCAAATAAAGTTGTAATATATTTAAAGTCACAATGCAATAATTTGATATATAGATACATTGTGGAAGGATTCCCACAATCAAGTTAATTAACACATGTATCACCTCACATAGCTATTTTTTTTTGTTTTTTTGTTTTTTGTTTTTTTTTGTTTTTTTGTTTTTGTTTTTTGTGGTTTTTTTTTTTTTTTTTTTTTTTTTTTTTTTTTTGGTTTTCTACTCTCTTAGCAAATTTCAAGTATACGCTACAATATTAACTATAGTCACTATGTTACATATTAGATACACAGAACTTCCGCATCTTATAATTGAAAGTTTATACCTTTTGACCAGCCTCTCCTCATTTCCCTCATCTCCTGGCCCCTAGCAACCACCATCCATTGTTTCTTTAAGTTTGACTTTTTTCTTTTTTTTTTTTTTTCCAGATGCTACATATAAGTAACTGTGTTTCTCCTTCTCTGTTTGGTTTATTTCACTTTGCAAAACGACCCTTAATTTCATCCATGTGGTCACAAATGGCAGGATTTCCTTTTGTTATGGCTAAATAATACTCCATTGTAAAGATATGCCCCCTTTTCTTTATCTATTCATCTGATGACAGACACTTAGGTTGTTTCTATATCTTGGCTTTTGTGAGTAATGGTGCAATGAACATGAGAGTGCAGATACCTCTTCAAGATATTGATTTCATTTTTTTTTGGATATAAAACAGAAGTGGGATTGGTGGATCATATGGTTTTTATTTTTTTTTTAATAGTCCTGAAAATCGTGGATAATTTTAGAGCAAAATTTTGGCTCTGTTTGTATTTTTTCCTGTATTTTCCTGATGCTTTTGAAAGAAATATGTGCTGTGGAAAATTCAGAAGGACAATGAAGAACAGCAATGATGGAAAAAGAGAAAGGAGGAAGAAAAATAAAGAGAAGGTGTGGCAGATTTCATAGAGTGAGTCTGGTTAACCTGGGTCTTCTGAGGGGTTCATGAAGCTCTGAAATTGTAATAAAATTGTAATAAAATGTTGCATATATAGGTCTTGCACGTATGCATTGTTTGGAGAGTATGTTTGGAGAAAGGTATTAGGAAGAAGCTTTTTAATCAGATTAATCTAAAAATTTTGAGATTTCCTGTTACAGAGAAGTAAAACCCATTTAAATATAAAATCAGATTAAAAACAGTTGCAAAATTAAGTGCCTGCAGATGTCCATTGCTTCCTTCTATTTCTCTAACCAGATTTCAATTGCTTTCTCATTGAATAAGATAGGTCAAGGTTGTCTTAATAGTGCTTTTACCTTCTCAGTTAAAATGTGTCATTGAAAAACCTCACATTCTATAAAAATAGACGAAAGTAACATATTTCTTTGCGCCATCGACACAATCCCTCTTCCATATGATGATTCTATAACAAGTCTTAGAGCCTCTGAAATAATTAATTTACCAATCCTACTAATGGGCCATCTTTAAATAATTTGGACTATGCGGGCCATAAGGTGTTCAGTTCTTCTATGCGCTAGATACTGGTCTACAAGAGAAAATGCCTGCTAGTCACGACAAGTATGAAAACCCTCCACCAAATAAGTGTAGATAACGGAGAATAAGAGCAAAGTCTTGTAGTAGTGTGCACTCCTTTCATCTAGTCTAAATTTCAGTTTTCTCACTTTTTTCTATCCTGGTTCCTTCCTTCCTTCCTGACACTGAGTGAGCCTGTCAGAACTTGCTGTCTTTCTAGCCAAGATTTTCTTAATTTGATGCTTCGTGTGTACTCCTAACTTTATCCACACAGTGTCACTGTTAGGATCTAAATGGAAAAAAAAAAAAAAATCAGTAGGTTCCGCTTCCTGACTAAAACTGCATTTTTATGTAGAAATTCCAATAGTGAAGATTCTGAGCCTATGACTTATTCCCTTGCATGTCCAAAGTGAGAATTCATGAGATACATTATAGGAACACTGGATAGTTAATGGTCTGTCAGCAACTGTGAACATTTGCTCCAGGCTAAAATTTTACCATACCAGGTCTCTCTTGGGAGTGCTCCCTGCCCCTCCTCCCCACATGAAAAGCACACATAATTAGGCTATTTGGGTGTTTTGTTTTGGTTTTTTTTTGGAAAGTAAGTTCAAGATTACTGAAAATTTTTAAATGGGATTACACTATTTGTATTGCAAATTGTTCATCTCTCCCTCCTCCAGCCCCTCCCCCCACAATGCCAGGGGCAATAATAGTCAACGTATTGTGAGAAGTTAAAAAAGACTACCAGTTGCTGGTAGTCAACTTCCACAAACGCATTGTGAACATTGCATATTGTACAGGTCTTTCCTAGTTCTTTCTGACCCTTTGGATGGTCAGTTTATATCCTAGAGCATGAGATTGAATTACTATAACCTTATCTCAGCTTGAAATCTTGACTTTCACCATCATGTTAAAAACAACAAAAGATTTTTTCAGACAGAATATTGTCTCACATTGTTTCTTAAGGCTTGTAGTAACCATTAAAATTTGGAAACATTTTTTACGTATTGCTTCTAGCTTTTGTCTTACTCTGTGAAATATAAGCTTTGCTGTCCGTGCTTTCCAAACTGCTTTTTCTTTTTCTTTTTCTTTTCTTTTTTTTTTTTTTTCTAGACTAGCTAGGGGTAAGAGCTCCAGATGAATCACACCTACAATGTTTATTTTTATTGAAGAAAAATGTAAAGTTACCAAAGCATTTCTATTGATCTTAGTTTTAATTTTTGCCCTCTTCCTTTTCCTGAAGAATCAAATCCTACATCTGAGACCACAACAACTCAGTAGCATTACATTTAAGCGTGTATTTTCCTGTAATCATTTCACAGATAGTAGGGATGCATTTCATGAGTCGGTTGAGTAAGCCTAGAAGCAGTGTGCCCATTTCCCTGCTGAACTGGGGGATAGTCTGCACTTTGATTATAGCACTCCTTTAGAAGCTCTGATTAGGTGAGATATCTAAGAATCTGTCCAGCCGGCTCGAAGAGTGGGTTATCCCAGAGGTGGTTTTCAATAGGCTTCTATTATTCTCGGTTTGGTAACTTCTCAGCAGTTTGGTACCAAGAATGGAAGGAGGGAGGTGGGGGAACTTCTGGTGAGCCTGATTCATGATCTATACAATGTACAATTAATTCAATTAAATGTTTCAAGAAACTTCAGATCTGAAGGGTGTCTCATATATATATTTTTTTCTTTTTTTCTTCTTCTTTGTGTGCTCACCAATTAAGCCATGCTGGTAACTGACTGTATTTGCTACTTAGAATGGAGGCTTGGCAATGACAGAAAAATTTCATTTTAGGTTATGGATTGTTGCCAGGGTCAACCAACCCATAGGAGATAGGGAGCTAGAAGATTGACTGGGCATTTGTGAGATCTGCCTTTTCCCACTCAGCTCTGTAAGGAGCTCTTTATTTGGTCTATCGAGTTGATTGTTCTAAATCTAAAAAAAAACTTCTTTTACTAGGGACCTGACATGATATACCATAATGACTTAGAAAGAAACGTTAAACAGTCCATCCTGTCAACGGTGGCTGCCGGGCGCCGACAGACCATGGCAGGTCTTTTTATCAGGTCAATGAGCTGCTAAAAATTGTCTAAGTAGGACCCTGCCATGATAGGCCATAGTGCCTCAGAGGAAGTCATTATAGAATATCAAGTAAACAATACACATTTAAAAAAATTACTAATTAGGTTTTGCAGCAATACTTCTCATCCTTAGGGGCTCTAGAGTGAGATAATTGACCGCGACGTGAGTTATGCCTCCCAAACGGAAGGCGTGAAGGTTAATTATCGTGGTGTGCAGCCCCCCAGCAAAGGGGACCGCGGTGATGAGATGCTGACGTTTCCAATAGATTATTGATATTCATTTTTAAAATCTGTTTCTTAAAGAAAACTTTTTGGAATGGTTTTGATTAAAGGGTAGAGTGACACAGCCACAATAAGAGCAACCAGGAAATAACCCCAAAGGGACAGAAACAAGGTGCAGTGGAGAGGACATCAGGCGGCTTTTATGCAGGCACGTATGCACGAGAGGAGGACTGGGAACTTTGTCTGGACATTAACTGACTTAGAATCATTTCTTCAGGTACCTTGGAACTGCACATTCCCAAAAGTGTCTGTGCTTCTTACATTGTGCCTCATCGTTTCCAGTGTATAGCTTTTAGTCTCCCGAAAGAGGGTTTTAATATATTTATAGAGAAGAGAGAGTTAGATAGGGAGTTTTCTCATAGCACAGATTCATACTGTCCTGCTGCAGGAATGCACATTTTTGAATAAATGATATTATCCGAAAACTTCTTTTTAACTTGGAATTTATGAAGGACCTGATTGGATCTTAGTGATGTAATTCAATCTAATCGAATGTTTATAAAGGAGATGTTAAGGTGACGAGTCGTGAGGGAAACAGGAAAGAAAGTTATTTCTTAAATACTTCAGTTGAGAAGAAGCAATAGGTTGCAGCTTATTGTAATTATATCGGATACTTTGCCCAAGAGGATGCTGAAGTATTATTTGAAAAGAATCAAGGGCTCAGAATTGTGCATGAGAATTTGCATATGCATTGGCCTTATGTAGGTAACAACCAGGAGAGGCAAAATATAGTATAAATATATAGTATTTAAATAAATACTATATAAATATAGTATAGTATACATATATACTATATATAGTATATAGTATATATATAGTATAGTATATAAATAAATTTATAGTATAAATATAGTTAGTAGTCACTTGTCCCTTGGCCGCTAGGAGACTGGGGTGAGATGAACACCAAATATGTAAAAAACTGAGATGATATTTTGCAAAACTCTTTTTTTTTTTTTTAAAGCTAACAAACGACCTGTTCTTGAATGTATAATGGGAGGATAGTTGAGAGGGCAAATGTACAAGATATGAGTTAGTGAGACTTGAAAATTTAAGACTGAAATTTCTGTATCAAAATGCATACCATTGTAAGAATGGTGGGGTTTTTTTCCAATTATAGGATTTAAATATATTATCACCAAGAAAAGTAGGATAGGCAGTGAGACTTTAGCTCCACTTGCCAACAAACCAAAGTAATGTAATAATGGAAGACAATCATACATTTTTTCCTCTTCCTACATTAGGACCAATAATTGATTTACTTGATTAGTTTTCCCCATTGAGTTAACAAAGGAGTTATTCCAAATGGGCCAGGCCAAATTTTGTATTTTGACTCGTATGTCTTTCCTTGGCTCCATTTAGCATAATTTGTGATAGGAAACCATTCAGCATCTACGCTTCCTGTAAAGTAGCCACAAATGTTTCAGACATAAGAAACAAACACTTACCTTTCTTGCATGGGTGGAAGTTGTATCCAGCTATTAAATCGAGGATCATATCGACTGACAAAATTTGTACTGTGTTTTCCTGTAAAAATATATGTGAGACATTTAAAACTTAGTTTCCTTTGTTGTTTTGCACATCTAATAGTGTTTGTAAGATGTGTCTGTTTTCAGGTTTAACACACACATGAATTAAGTAGGGGGACTAGTTAGCCCAGTCTGAGAAGCAGTAAGTCAGTAGAAGAATAAATGTGCCACCTCAAATATTTTTCCTTTTTCTTCTTTTCCACTCCATCTTCTCTTTATTTCATTTTTTGGACTGAGTCAGAACAAAACTAAATCAGCCATTATGATAAAAGCAAGTCTGTTTACCAAACCAGTTTTACCACAAAGTTAGGGGGAAATTTTCTGAACTTTGGTATTTTTGTGTTTTAAAAATAGGAACTTATTGTCTGTAAATAATCAGTTCCAGAGACTTTTTAAAAAGTTTTTTTTTTTCACATTTATTTATTTTTGAGAGACAGAGCATGAGCAGGGGAGGGGCAGAGAGAGAGGGAGACACAGAATCAGAAGCAGGCTCCCAGCTCTGAGCTGTCAGCACAGAGCCTGATGTGGGGCTCTAACCCATGAACCATGAGATCATGACCTGAGCCGAGGTTGGACACTTAACTGACTGAGCCACCCAGGCACCCGTGTTCTAGAGACTAACTTGTGTAATATCTTTTTTTTTTTTAAATGATCCAAGAACCTAGCAGTGGTTGAGTCAGCCCTCTCCCCATGGAAATAACAGCAATCACTTCAGTGAGAGTTTGCATTAGGAAATCAGTTTTAGTCCATTCACGTCACGTAAGTTCTGTGTGTGTGTATTTGGGGGAAGCATGGTTGCAGGTACATGTGCTGAAGTGGGAAACATGAGTCCTCAGAGCTGGTGAACCAGCTTTTCCCCTCTGTTGTGCCTAGGAAGCACAGCAGTGCCTTTAAGGTATTAAAATGAATCCTATTTTGCATATAGATTGACACCAAAGCAAGAAATGGCACTGAAAGACTGTATTCCATTTTCTGTGTAGCACCTGAGATGACAATCATCTATAACACTTGAAGTTTTAGCTCTGAAAATGTTTTTGTTCATATATGTAAAACTAAACATTGAAATACAGGTACTAAACTTCACCACAGGAATAAACAGATAGGAGTGTGTGTGTGTGTGTGTGTGTGTGTGTGTGTGTGTACATGCTTGTGTCTATCCAACACAATTATTAATTGCATAAATATATTTTGAGCATTTATTGTATGTCTTATGTGCTCTAGGTTCTGAGAATATATTGGTGAACAAAAAAGGAAAAGTCCCTGTTCTTGTAAATGAATAAAGAAATATATATTTTCAAGTAGAGACGAATGTTATAAAGCAAGGATTGATAGGGGGCAGGCTAGTTTAAATAGAGTGGTTACCTGCCTACAGATGTTTTCTGCAGAATGAGCCTCTCACACAGTGGGCTTGGTGAGTAGAAAGTCCCAGGGGTTGGCCATGAGTTCAAATCCAGCAAGAATACTGGGGTGACTTAGACAGAAGTCAGAAGCATATCAAGGACCAGAATACAGTGTGCCTTGTGGACTGGTGCAGGATTGTGTCTTCTGTTATAAGAATAGGAGGAAGTCACTGGAGGGTTTTGAGCAAATAAAAAACATGGCCTAATTTATCTCTTACAAAGATCACTCTGGCTATTGTGTGAAGAACAGACTGTAAAGGGGCCACTCTGAAAGCAAGGGAGCTATCAGGAGGCCATTATAAAAGTCAAGGCAAGGGGTGCCTGGGTGGCTCAGCTGGTTGAGCGGCCGACTTTGGCTCAGGTCATGATCTCACGGTCCGTGAGTTCGAGCCCCGTGTCAGGCTCTGTGCTGACTGCTCAGAGCCTGGAGCCTGTTTCAGATTCTGTGTCTCCCTCTCTCTCTGACCCTCCCCCGTTCATGCTCTGTCTCTGTCTCAAAAATAAATAAACGTTAAAAAAAAAATTTAAAAAAAAAAGTCAAGGCAAGAGCTGATGGAGGCTTGAATGAAGGTGGAGGCATTAAGATATGTTGGGATCTATTGTATGGGCAGTGCCGATAAAATTTTCAGATAGACTGAATATTGGTATGAGAAAAAGTAAGCAATTAAGGATGGCCGCCAGATGTTGAGCCTGAGTAACTAGATGGAAGGTCATGAAATTTGCTGAAGTACAGAAGATCAGGCAAGAGGAGTTTGAGGATTAGGAAGAGAAACCATTAGTTCTGTTGTGGACTTAACCTTGAGAGATCTGTAGGGTCTCAAAGTAGAAGTATATGGTAGGCCACTAGCTCAATGAGGCTGCAGATGCAAATTTTGGAGCCATTAGTCTAGAGATATTATTTAAAATCACAGAACAAAATAAAACCCTTTAGACAGAGGGTATGGGCATGGAAAATAAGAGTCCTGAGAAAGAGCCCTGGAGTACAAGAAGAAAAACCAGCAAAGGAAAGGAATTGTCAGAGACAGGAGCGAAAAGTATGATATTTTGGAAGCCATGTCAAATAGTACTTCAAAAAGAGGAGCGAACAACTGAAAATTGACCATAGTATTTGGCAACATGGACGCTGAGGGTAGTCTTGACAAGATTGACTAAGATCTAAGAAAACAGATGCAAGAGGAAGGCAATGCTTCTTAGGATTTTGCCACGAGAAGGAGTAGATTATAGCTGGAGGATGCAGCATCAAAAGTAGGTTTTTTTGGTAGTTTGATTGTATTTTTAAGTCCAGAAATACTGGAAAGTCCTTGAGGGACAAGGCAAGAGGGAATGAGAAATAGGCCTTAGGTTGGAGCAGAAACAAAAATAGGAGGGAAGATAAAATACATGGGTAGCAATGGTGGTAAGTGAACAGATTTGGTAGTAGAAGATGAAGATTTTATCTTCTGATTGCTTCTATTTTCTTTGAATTAAGAGGCAGGGCCATCAGCTGAGAGTGCAGAGAGAGGTTCTGGAGAAAGAGGCATTTGAAGAGAGAGAAAGTGTGAGAGAGTTAACTTGGAGGGCGGAAGAGTATATTGACCAGGGAAGTTTGGTGGAGTTGGCCAGTAGTGAGCATGGTTCATTAGTAGCCAGTGTGGCTCTGTGGTTTTCTACATCCACATTTAGTTGCTCAGGAGAGGGAAGAGGTGGAAGGGAGTTGGGTTTAACCAGGGCCAGGGCTTTACCAGGAGAGTATAATGAAAGGAGAGGTGGATGCAAGGACTGCAGGTATACGTGCTAAGGTGATCATAGGAATGGGCACAAGACTATAAACCCAGTAAGGAGGGAGGTAAGGACATCAGAGGATGATGGACCGTGAAAAAGTAGTAGGGTAGAGTGAAGGAGGTGTCATTTCCAGGATAACTGTGGCTAGCTGCCACATGAGAGGGCAGAAGGTAAAAAAAAAAACAAAAAACCCTGAAGATATTCTTTACAGTGATGGATTTTAAGGTTATGGGAGTGACAATAAAGAGATAGTAGAAAAGCTACCTGCCTCCAATAATAAGAAGTTCTGGGCTCAGGTGGTGGAGCCATGCAGTCCCCATTAGAGAGGGTGGCTGGGAAAAGAGTATTCTCAGAAGATAGCCAGGTTTTGATTAGAAAAGAATGGAAGTGATCATTAAGAGGAGAGTTGAAGGATTCTGAGGATTTTGTGGACGTGATATTATGAGTTCTAAGGATCTTGTGAGAGTCTGGATAGTGTGATTGGAATGTAAATTAAGTTTGATTTGGAGGTGTACAGAAAGAGTTAAGAGTGAATGACCCCCAAAATTTGGATTCCACAAAGAGAGGCTCCAGCTCAAGGAAGAATTATGTCTAGAGTTGGTTTATAAGGGAGTTTTTGCAGAATTTGTAATCACTTTATTCTAGAAAAAAATATTCTTAGTAGGTTTCAAGTTTCCAAAAGAATCTGAAGATAAATGCTGTTAATAGGAATGTAGAGCATACCCGCCGTATATAAGAATGTTTCTTTTTGAAGTTTGGTTTAGAATTTCCACTTAGAGGAAGACATCTGCCTCCTTTTAGCAATGGGGCAGAGTGCCTTCACATGCTGAGCAGTGGTGGCAGAAATTAGCAATTGTGCTTTGGTTGTATTGGTAGTGGCCTTCACTCAGAGAAAGGCTAAGCAAGGACTGGTGTGATATGGATGTGGATGTGGATGAAGAATTTCCAGGGGCAGAGTCACTGGTGTGAAGGAGAGGTAAGGATGGAGGACTGGGGACAGAAAAAGAAGGAAGGCATTCTGGAGATGGCAAAGGATGTGGTGAGGGGTAATGAACCTCAGAAGAAATGAATGTGGTAGAGTGAGGAAGGTGAGCTCAAAAGAAATTACTTGTTCCTTCTTATGGCTCCTATTGGACTCTACCAGCAGCTTAAGAATTTTTGGTTACTTCACTCCTTTAGTTCCTTCTCATCTTTTCTACTTTTTCCTGATTCTTCCCCCAATTCTTCTCTTTTTTGTGGTGATGCCCTGTCACCAGACAGGTTTGTTGACTACCCCTTAGGTGATAGGTAAAATGGAGCATGGGTGGCAGTTTTCAGACATGGGGGAAAAAGGAGGGGGGAGGGAAGGAAGTTCCCTACAGGCAGTGTTTTTGGGAGCCAATCATCAGTAAGTGACAAATGTAAATTGGTTTTCTGTAAGCTGGGGCAGTGAGAGGATAGATGCATATGTATTAAAATATTATAATGCATTCCTATCACTAATGATGTGAAGGGAGTTAATAGGAGTTAATATCTCTAGCTGAGTAGAAAAAAAAGTGGGAGCACCTGGGTGGCTCAGTCAGTTAAGTGTCAGACTCTTGATTTCGGCTCAGGTCATGATATCACGGTTCGTGATTTTGAGCTCTGCACTGATAGTGTAGAGCCTGCTTGGGATTCTCTCTCTTCACCTCTCTGCCCCTACCCACCCCTCTCAGAATAAATAAACTTAAAAACGTATGTATCCTGCTTAAGCTTCTAGTAACTAATATGTTTTATGATTTCAAATTGTCTTGTAATCAAGACAATAGATAAATGAAATTATATTTGTATTTTATGAGTACATAGGTGTTTTATGAGCATGTGTTAAATTTAACAATTTTGAATTTCATTCAAAGACATGCATCTCAGGCACCAATTTTGTAAGAACTAAAGTTTAACTTAAGATTTCATCTTTGGAACTGACATATCCAGAATATTTGAATTCATGGATTTTTAATTTTTCCTCCCTGGTAGCAATGAAATTAAAGCACGTTATATATTATCATCGGATTGTTATTCTTTATAAATTTTGGTATTAACTGCTTACTTTTTAATTGCAAAATGTATTATAGTATGAAAATCCCAATTTTTTGAGATTATTGAGCCCCTTCGTGGTTCTCTAAATCAGAAGTGATGAAGATTCTTTGAGAATAAGGGCCCTTTCCACTGCGATACAATACTGACTTTATTTCAAAATATCAAAGGCAAAAACATGATTGTTATTTAATATTAAACAAAATCCGTATGTTTGCGTGAGGGGGAGTTGTCATGCAATATGGCTCTGGAGTCAGACAGACCCACACTGGAATCAGCCCATCTTCGTTCAAACTGTACGTGCTGGCCAGTTATTTCCCCTCTTCAGGCTTAGACTCCTCATAGTAACACTAGAACAATCATGGGACAGACCTCTTGGGATGGTTGTGAGATTCGGTAAAATGGTGCAGGGGAGTGCTTAGCAAATTTCTGGGAAATAATTAGTACTCAACAAATACTACTGCTAATGGTTTAAAAAGAAAAAAAAGAAAAAAAAAAAAAAAAAAAAAAAAAGAGTTGGCTATGGTTGACCAGACAGTTGTCGTCCGGGTTGCTCATTGTCACCGCCGTTCCCTCTCTGGAGAACCGCTCTCAGCTGTACAGGCCATGTCCCTGCCTGCCCTCCTCCCTGACGTGGGGGGAAGGCCCCCGCCAATGACTGAATGATTGACCGGAAGACTTGCCTGCTTGCCTCCTGATGTGACCAATTCTCCTCTGTTTAGGGGAGCCAGATCAGTGGTTCATCAGCATTTGCCCAGCTCTATACAAGTGACTTCACATGCCACACATGGCAGGGACAGAATGACTCAACTTTGCAGGTAGGACTCCCACAGCTCTAAAAGGGGGTCTTACAGACTCAGAGTTAGCTGCTAGGCCCATTTTGAGAGTAAACATAAAATTAAAATACAGTAATGAAAGTTTTACTAAAATTCAATTCTGAGTCTCCTAGTGGCTAAAGCAAAAGAGGAGGGACACGGTAAACCATACAAATGCATTAGTGGTAATTTTCAAAAGCACACAGTGACTCGGTATTGTGGTCTGGCAAGAATTTGTCACATGGGTCTCCACATGGGACACGCCGAGTGGTGAGTGACAGACGTCCCTGCAGTAAATGCGATGCTGTGTTTTCTACAGTATTTTGTCACAGCATATTCACTGAGGCCTTTAAAATGAATTCCTGTTCATCTCAGGCGTGGGGGGAGGCAAGTCAGTGAAGTCCAATGGCACAGTTTTGTGGGACTCTGAATTAGTTCAGAGATAACACTTGGACTCTCCAGCCTAGAGGAAGGAGTATGTCCATGATGCTATTCCTTATCGCCCCACCCAACCTCTCAGCTGTGTTTGATAGAAAGTTGAACAGTAAGCAGTTATAGGTTATTTTAAGGAAGAGAGAGCATAACCCGGGGAGCAGGTTTTCTGTGTTGCTGAAAAAGTCTGTCTTAGAGGAGTGGGAAGTTCATAGTGTTTAGTGAAAACTAAATGGTTGCACCAAGACTGGTACCTTTTAATTTCATTTCATTTCATTTCATTTCATTTCATTTCATTTCATTTATTTTATTTTACTTTATTTTTATTTTTTGAGAGACAGAGAGAGAGAGGGAGCAAGTGCGTGAGGGGCAGAGAAAGAGAGAGAAGTGGGGCTCCCCCAAAGTGGGGCTCAAGTTCACCTGAAGCAGGGCTTCGATGTGGGACTCGAACTCACGAACCGTGAGATCGTGACCTGAGCCAAAATCAGATGCTTAACCCACTGAGCCACACAGACACCCAAGACTGGCATTTTAAAAGAGGCCTACACGATCTGGGAAGGGAGATGGGCTAAGAGAACATTGTCACCAGAAAGAGGACTTTGCAGCCTTCTCTTATCATGTGTTCGTTTTAATCTGGCCTTCAAAAAGAATGTTCTGTAGATACTTTGCTTAGATAAACCTGATGGCTGTGCACTGTTGACTTACAAAGACTCTACTCAGTTCAAATTACGTCGGAGGGAGAACAGGTGAAATAGTAATGGGGAGTTACAGTGGATTGTATATATGCCAGTGGTGTTTTCGGGGCAGGGAATGCATCAAGCCTGTCTTTGCAAAGGTAAGTTAGAGGAGAGATATTAAATATCATTTTTGCTCCTGTTCTAAACCTGTGTCTCACAAAGCCCAGGAACTGTCCTCTTTGGGTAGGAACCAATAAAGCTGCAGGTTTTGGGAAAGAACGTCCTGCTCTCTTCAAAGAAATGTTCTTGGAGGGTGGCCGGGTTGTTTTCCTTTAAGATTTTCTAGAGTGAACAGATGTAACAATTTTCTATAATTTGCCTTGGTGCAGATGCTGAAAGAGAGCATTCACAATAAAATATATGCAGTATATGTAATTTCACTTGGATGTTCTGGGGTTTTAAAGTAAAAATGTGTACCTGCAAGCTGTTTTACGGTTTCTCAGTCATAATAATCTCTGTTACACAGAAGGCTACAACTGCAACCCCTCCTTCACGTGCAGGAGTTCCAAAAATATCTTGATAATTTTGCGCATTCGGCAAGGCACGGTGTTCTCCCTGGGCTGGCTTGGGAGCGGTGCTAAACGTGTTCAATTTCTCTTTGCGAGGAATTTATCAAGTAACCACATCCACAGGGAGGATGGTGGATAGTCTTCGAAAGGAGCCCCAACTAGAATGGGTCTCAAGTAAGAAATGCTGCAAGAGAACTTGAGCTGTGAAGTTCACTTCAGTCGGACTGCACATGACGCTTATCTACTGAAACTGCGTTATTACACTGATAAAACGGGAGGAAAGTGGTGGAGAAGGTGGTGAGAATTCTTAATAGCTGCAGCTTGCTACCTGCCTCTGGGGAGTCTGTGCTTATGTTTGTGACGTTCCTCAGGGGACGGATAAGGAGAGGGGCCGGGGCGTCACTGCAAAGCCAAATCCCCAGACGGTCCATGAGCGAATGCTCCACTGCGCGCGTCCTCTGCCAGCTCAACGGTTGACCCTCCCTCCAATCGTCAGCCCAATTTACCGACTGCTTCGTGTGTCCCTGCGCACAGAAGTGCATTTCCCACAGTAATCACAAAACAGGCTGCCACCAGTGCCTTCCACGACGCACATGCTCGCGCACCTACTATTGAGCAGTTCAATAGTTACCATTGGGGTTCCATTGGTCCTCTCCACCCAGCACAAACAAGAAGTTTTCTACCTCCACAACGCAGTGGTGGGCACTGTTGTACGGCATAACTGGAATGGAGGGGGGGAGAAAAGAAAAGACGCATGAAATTCTCCACCTTAGGACTTGAGACCTTGGCTCACTAGTTATTTGTTTCCACCAAAGGGTGTCAAATGTGAGAGTAAGTCGGAAGGAAGAAGACGGCAGCAGCCGCAGAGGGGACACCCGCCGGTCTCCAGTGGTTCAGCCGTGTGTTCACAGCAATTTCAAACCCAGCCCCTTTTGATTAATTTTACATAATGTTATTCCACAAATTAGTCAAGAACAACCTGTCTTGCAGCTTTCGAGTCTTAAGTTGTCCTCACCTGCCTGATGATGGGGATCGAACTCTAAAGCAATGACTGATAGTCCCAAATGGTCAGGGCTGGGGGTTACTTCTTGGAAGAAATAACCCTGCACGCGCTTGGAGCCGTTAAGATGCTCTGCCCAAACTTGGTTTGCTGGCAATCTTTCCATAAACAGACTCAGGGTGCTTGGTAGCTTTCTATTCCACAGCAATGAGCAAGCTGAATTTCCATACAGTTTTAAGTTTTTAAATTAAGGTCCTGCTGATTTAATGCCTTCTCCAAATGTATACGCTTAATTTCCTGTACAATGTCATTAGCAGCACAATCACACATTTTCTATCTATCTGCTTAGGAGCTCTTCTGTGACGAAGATAAAAACTGTCAGGAACATCACAAATATCCATCCGTTCCCCTGGTCTCGCCCTTCGCCCTGCCCCAGTGTGGTTGGTGTCAGGAGGGGGGTGTTATTGAGAAACCCACCAAAGCCCCGGTTGCTCTGTGTTTGTTTGTTCTCATTTACATTTTCTTTTGGGAGACACACACAGTATGAATAGGACAGCCCTGTCACCCCATGTGCTGTGCAGTGTTGGTGGCTGCTATTGTAATATCATATGGCAAATGTAAACTCGAGCAGAATTAGTTATCACATCACATGCAGTGGTTTGGACCCAGTGACACCCAGTAGGAAAAATGATGTCCTTGTTCGGCTCATCATATGGGCACCTTAAATCTAGGTGAGGACAAATGGGGAGGTGATGTGCATGTTCAGGCAGAGAACTTATTGCTTGACACGGATCAACAGAGCACTTAAGAAACCAGTGCAGTGGGAAATCAATATGAGTCAGGGCCAGCTCTTCCTCTGTGCTCTTTTGCCAATGCCGAAAGAGACAGAGCCTATCCTAGACCCAACTTATTTGGGATGATATATATCTCTCATTTCGTGTTCATCATCTTTTCTTTTTCTCAGAATGCACTTATGCTGGCTAACATATGTAAATAAAATTAACAAGGGACAGGCACAGCTTCGAAATCTATAATACAGCTTCGGAAAGAGCGAATCAGATCATTTAAGCTTCTTACTAAAGGATTTTAGGTGTTTGGGCTATTTTATGAGTTATTTATTTTTTACTGTGCGTATTCATTGTTTTTAAACTTATATTTCTAATGCTAGAGGCCTTGGTATGGAAACCCCTGATTTCTGGGACAATGTAGAAATTGGATGTGCTATGGATTTGTGTGGTCTATTAATTAGGTCATTGACGTAGGGAGTCATCTTGGGGATGCCCTTTTGCCCCTCAACCCTCAGTTATCTCTTTGGAAAATGCTTTTAACCACATAGCTCTGCAGAGATACCATATAGTTTCTCAGAATCTACTGGGGCAGAATATATGTTGAGTTCACTGACCAACTAAAATCAAATACATTTTGAACACCTTTTTTTTTTTTAATTAAACATCATTGTTTGGATTATGATGCTGGTTCCAGAATAGCAAATACAAAACTATGCTGCTCATATATGATGTATATTGTGTATATGGTGAACAGCCTGGTGCCACTCCAGTTCACCATCATGTCAGCTGGGCAGTGTAAACTCACAGCATGGGTTATCATCTGCATGTGTCTATTCACATGGGACCTGAGGATAGGAATAGGGCCATTGACTATAACCAATGACTTTATGACTGCCACTCTTTCAATATTTAAATTTTTGGTCAGTTCAAGCCCCAAACCTTATAAAAATGAAAAACTGCATTATCATCTGTTCAACCAGAAGTCCTGCTTGGTAATGAAGCACAATCTCTGAAAATATAACAACACTTGTGTTTTGTTCTTGCCATTTATTTGCTCCCATTCAGGCAAGCAGAAATTAAGTGAGGGAAATAATACATGATTTATTCTTAAGCCTCTTTCTCATTTGATTACCCCTATTGTTATGCTTTATGCAAACAAATGAAACTACTGCACTAAACTAACTATTGGAACCTTCAAAATAAGAGAGAAGGTCTTTGCAGTCCTAATATAAAGGCTGTTGAAGGCATCCTCATTTTTTACTCTTGTTTTTAAACCTTGTATGCTGTATTTCTTGGCTGCGTATTTTAGTATTCTCGTTCCTGAATTATTGTCTTTTCTAAATTATTACCGTGAATCGAGGCTATAAATACACACAAATAACTCTTTGAAATTATTCTGAAGGTGAAACGTTCCAAATTTATTAGAAAAAAATCTATATTAAATCAATGTTTGAGTTTTGTAAAAGACCTCATTTGACTTCGGATTAAACCTGAAGGAAAGCAAAATAAATAGGGCAGTAAGCATGAGCAAACATCTGTTTAAAATGGCGCTGGTACTGCACGTATTTGATTACCTTTTAAATAACAAGGGATACATGCATGACCCTTTCCAGATTTCTCGAGAGGTGGACACCAGCCTCGCCCTCACAAGCAGGAATTGGAGGAGAAGTTTGTACTCATGTTCATATACAGCCCAGTGCGAGTTTTTAGCGTGTCAGTCAGTGAGTTAGAGGGAAAGGGTAAAGAGAAGCTAATCAGGATGAAATGAGATTAAAGGCTGTCTAATTTTACAGCAACTGTGATCCATCAGCCACTGTGAAAGTGACAGTGGAAATGAATGATGGAGACAGACAGGTGGGGCTGTACATTTCACTGATTTATCCTCAAATGCACTGGGCCTTATTTTATTGAGTGAACATGACCGCATTTATCATGACTGTCATCTAAACCCACTTCCCTCCATTTAAAAAGGTCACTTTACTCGGAGGGAGTAGGAGAGAGGCACTTTCAAATCAAATTTAAAATCTCATAACACGTGTTTATAAGGCCCTTTGTGAGAATTCTAAACTTTATTAAACAAACTTGAAATGCCAGAAGGAAAAGGAAGGAAAAAAAGTCAGAAAACTGAAAAAGAAGAGACCTTTGGTCACCTGAAGGGACACGTTCATTTAGTCTCTAAATTGGAAGCAATTTGTATCATTTTCCCCTTTCCCGCTCCAAACACGTGATAGTCTATTCTAGTCTGGGGAGTTAAATAAAACATTTACATTTAGTATTTTTAATTAAGAAAGTAGGAAGCAGGTAGTACTATAAAATTAACTTGGAGAGGATATTAAGTCACAGTATTTACTCTGCAGAATGATTAATCATCACCCACACAGTAGATGTTAGCAATTGTTACAAGCTGTCACAATTTACTTATGTACCTGTTAATTGTTTCCCCATAATTTTAAGGCCATAAAAAAAAAAATCTCAGTTACACAGATTCTTTTACCCTTCCCTGTACCAGTGCAATAAAATGTCCTGGAGTGTTATGTACAGAGTTGGTCTTCGTGGATATGAAAATGGAGAGTCAAACCTTCAGAGTATTTTGTGTTACCTTTCATAATACTAACCACCATTTACCAAACATTTACCATGTGCCAAGCATGGTTCAGGTGCTATAGATATAGATAAAGAAATGAAATATGTTATGATATTCATGTATAGTTACCTATATTGTATCTCCAAAATATAACACTTGTGTTTTGTTTTTGCCATTCCCTTGTGTCCACTCAGGCAAGCAGAAATTAGGTAAATGAAATAATATCTGATATTATAATGCATGATAAAATATAATTCCTGATAAAAGGTAGCAATATTTTATTTACTGATATCTTTGATTTAATAAAACTAACTCCAAGGGAGGCATTACTCATTCACTTCATGAAAAATACTGAGGCCTTGAGAGGTTAAGTCACTTGTTGAAGGTCATACTCAGCTAATGAACAGCACAGAGAGAATCCAAACACAGGGATAACTGGATCCCAACCCACGTTCTTGTCCATTTCACTCTACTGATTTTCAATAGGTATGTTCATCCAACCAGCAAGTAATTACTGAGTACCTGTGTGTTCAATGATGGTGTTCCTGAAATTTCTGCATAATTTTTTGCATTGAATCATGTCTTAAAAGTTTATTATTTTCATATTGGAAGGAACCCTTAATTAGAGCAAGTGGATACTCCTACAAAATTTTCTTTTTTTAAATCCAGATATTCAAATAGTTGGTTTTCTTAAAATAAGATATCGTTGTTTGATAAAGCCAGGAAAACACTGAACAAGTTAGCCAGTTAAGGATTGGTAGAGTCTACTGAGAGCTACTGAGAGCTTTTATTTTTTTAAAAAACAATGAGGTCATAGTTTAACCCTGTAAGCAGATTCAAAGTATCTTGGGCACACAGGCCCTTTTCCTGACATGCAAAACACGTAGGGGGCTTGTATTTATGAAGGTCTTATTCTGTTAAGAGATCCACACTACTCTGTTTTCTCACATATATGTCAAAGCAATATCTATCTCTTCCAGCAGAAAGTATAGGTATCATTCTCAACCACAGATGTTCATGAACATCCAAAGAAGAGATTGCATACGGCTAAGCCAAGTTTAAAGGATTGCTAAATCAATAGTTACTGAATGCTTATCATTTTGCTGTAACATTTATGGGGGCCTTGGTTTTCTGTTGGCCTCAAATATATAGATTTGCAAAACTGTCAACTATGACATACTTCTTAGGTAAAAAAAAAAAATTAATGCCCATGGTAAAAATACAATCTTATAAAAAGTAAAGATATGCAGGACCAGTAAGTTTTCCTCCTATGCCTGTGCTTCCGGTTTTCAGTTCCTCCCAGAGAGACTATCACCATTACTATGTTCTTGGATTTTCCTTTCAGAGAG